ACAAAACAGACAGAAGATATTAGAAACACCAATCAAGCAGAACACAGCAAACTCCAAGACCAATAAACACAGACCAAGACTCCCAACCAATCAGGATGAAGAAAAAACCATTCTGGCACAGCAGTAGGCTAGCACCAAATTTAAAACAGAAATGGCTGTGAAAGTCTGATTCACAGACGAACACTATACAGAAGCCTGATGATGGCAGATGAGATTCTGCCAAAATGTTGCTACAACTTTAAAAGCACAACTACATAAATTCTGTCACATGAAACCACACTGGTTATTCTTTAGCTTTAGGAAATAATTTTAGGCCATGTCTTTCTGAGCCACAGTATGTATGTGAACAAAAAAATATAAGAGAAAAGTCAAATAAAGTATCTATAAGAACTTATTTCCAACATTGCATATAGTTACAAAAAGATGTGTGTAAAGTGATTTGGAAATTATTGTTTACTTATTCCCGGTATATGAGAACTCCAGGCACACAGCTGTTGAAATTAATACAGTCAAGATTTTGTAGGTCCAAAATTAGTCAGAGAAATTATAGTGCTGTCACAGGACCTGACTTACTAAACCATGTGGTTTTTTTTGCTCATAGGGAATATGTAAATCTAATCCATTAGCTTCTGAGTTGGTGCAGTGTTGAATATTATAAGTAAGAACTTCTGCAGGGGAAACAACAATCTATGTGTGCCTGACACCTTCACACAACCTTTGTATTTATGTGAAACATCATGGTACACATTTGTCAATAATGATGCCCATTTTATGACTTTGGTGGCATCTTGTCTTGGATGCCATTAATTATAACCATGGTAACTAATGCACAAACATTTCCTGTGGAGAAATATAGTGAATCCTGATATAGAGTCAGGGAAAGTATCTGCCCAAACAAAAAAATATATGGAACTTCAGCTAGGGCCAGCCATTGATTAAACATTAGTTTACCTCTTTATTGTTTATTGCTAGTAATCAATATAGTATTTGGAGGGCATATAGAATTTGATAACATCATTTCAAACTGATGCTTTAGTCTGCTTTTTAAATTGGATTTATGTTTATTTATGTGTATGTTTGTTTACTTATTGCATTTATATGGTCATCCATTTCACAGAGTGACTCTGCCTGGCATACCACAAGGATATAAAATGATAAACATGTAAAAAAATCATTACAAATTATAACTTATATACTGCTAGTTTCGATTAATTGAGTCATGATGGTTGATTTATTATAATTACTTCTTTTTTATTAACTCCACATAGGCATTTAAATATAATTCCATAGTATGTATTAGAAGTTTATTTTCATAGTAACCAAACACAGTAGAATTTTGGAGGAAAAAGTTGGAAAAGGTCTAGTCTAGTCTAGTCAAACTTAGCCAACTGTAGCCTAGCCTAGTATATAGTGAGTCCTGGTTAAGTTCATCAGGGCTCACAACAAATATTAAGCCACCTAATTCAGCTCACAGTCTGCTTCAGCACAATACCTAATTCTAGCCAATACTGGATATTAGAAAAATTAATATTTCCTGTCATTTAGCCCTGAATTAAATCTTTCCTACTGCAAACTTAGGAGCGAGGTGGCTCACATGGTTAGAACTGCTGGGTTGATGATTGGCAGCTCACGTTCAAGACCCAGTTGCTGCTGTGTGATAGGGTGAGCTCTTGTCACTCGCTCCAGCAACTGCCGACCCAGCAGTTCAAAAGCAGGTGACCACAAATAGATAGATGGGTAGATAGACTTATTCACAGGGATACAAAAGAGCCCCCAACTGGGTGTCTCCCAGGTAACGGTGATGTCACCAGTTGATCCTTTCACCATGGGAGCCCTTTGGTGCTTCCAACACAGAAATATATATAGTACTGTAAACTTGACATTGTATTACAAACCAGAACAGTTTAGCACACAAATATTTTTGAAGTCTGAATTATGTCTCAGATTTCCTGCAGTTCCTGCAGTTTCCCCTCTTTGGATTTAACATATAGGGAACTATCGAAGAAGATATAATGCGACTTCTGGTTTCCCATTCTATTTCTCATTTTAGCCTTAAGTAGCTTACAGTCTCACAGTTTACTTTTTGGTGTACAAGACTGCAATACAGAAGTACTAGTACCTTATTTTAAAGCATGTGGGCTATGGCCATGAGGGATTTGCAACTCGGGCACGGAAACAGCCAGTGGGCGAGTGCGCACACACGTGCATCCTCACTTGCATGAATAGCGGGCGAACATGCACGCTCCATTTAAGTGAGCAGCAGGTGTGCGAGCATGCTGCTTGCACAAATGGAGCTGTGCACACTCGCTTGCCTCCCCCACCCCACCCCCATTGCTGGTCCACAAAGCCGGAAACATTGATGAATGCAGTCAAGGATTACTATTTAAAAGTTATGATAAAATAATGTTTCTGAACTGTTTCGAGCACTTGGAAGCTTAATATATTATACTATGATAATATATTACACATTGTTCCCACTATGATAATTTTTAAAACTATCACTGCTGCCTTATAGTAACTCTTTTCCCATTCTTAACTGTCTTCTCTTCCCTTACTATTAGCAAGTAGGTGTTCACATCGGGGTGGGATTCAAATTTCATAACAACCGGTTCTGTAGGCATGGCTTAATTTGTGGGCATGGCTTGGTGGTCATGTGACTGGCTGGGCATGACCAACTCAATGTCGGTTACATCAAGGGGTGCCTCTCCTGGCCCCTCCCTTCCCAGCCATTCCTTGTCACACCCAGCCTCAGCTTATCTATAGTTCTGTAAAAATGTTGTTCACCTTTTTTTGACTTTATTATCTATGTGCTTTCATGGACTACGAAAGGAGGAAATGACTCATACTTTACCCAAGAGTGTGATAGGCAACAGGCTTTTAAGGGGCTGCCAGAAAGAAAAAAAGGGGGGGGGCAATATATTTTCCAAAGAAGCAGAAGGCAAAACAAGAAGCAATGGATGGAAACTGAACAAAGAGAGAAGCTACGTAAAACTTCTTAAAACTTCCTGACCATGAGAACAATTAACCAGTGGACCTGCTTGTCTTCAGAAGTTCTGGGTGCTCAATCACTGGAGGTTTTTAAGAAAAGATTGAACAGCCATTTCTCTGAAATGGTATAGAGTTCCCCCTAAGGTCCCTTCTAAGTGTTATTCTGATACCTTTCCCAGGACCTCCACTCAGATCCAAAATGTGGTTGTGATAGTTGATCAGAGCTCCTCTGTTTTTTATATGCAGCAGCTTTAGCGTTTAGGACAGAGGTCTCCAAACTTGACAATTTTAAGATTTGTGGATTTCAACTCCCAGAATTCCTCAGCCAGCTCTGAGGAATTCTGGGAGTTGAAGTCCACAAGTCTTAAAGTTGCCAAGTTTGGGGAGCCCTGGTTTAGGATCAGAGCTCAGTTAGTTACTTTTCTATTAATACATAATCCTTGAAAGGGCTCTCCTGCATGGTCTAATTCAGAAGTCCGCAACTTTTCTGGCACCAGGGACTGGTTTCATGGAAGACAATTTTACCATGGACCTGTGTGTGTTTGTGTGTGTGTGTGTGTGTGTGTGTGTGAGAGAGAGAGAGAGAGAGAGAGAGAGAGAGAGAGAGAGAGAGAGAG